TTTCATGTGCCATGCATCTACGTACTATTTTTTTTTTTTTTTAAGAACTAACTCAAATAGCCGCCCACCTAATCTCTTAAACTATAAATAACCGGCGGATGTATAATATATGTATAACTATGTATAATCAATATATTATATATGTATGTCAGCCGGTTAGAAAAGGTAAACATTGAATTTAACCGGCTATTTGTGTGACATCCCCTACTTTTTTCTATATAGAAAAGTACATTTTTTTGTACATTATTACAATATGTACTTACAATATATATGGCATGGATGTATATGTGTGTCAATTTAATTTTATATAATAGATGAAGTTGGAAAAGGTATACTTCACATGCTAGCTAAGTTGTTTCCCAAGTTGTCACGCATGGGCAGTCGGGCATGCATTTGCGTTGACATCCGGTTTATACATGTTAATTAGTTGATCACTAGCTGTGGAATAAAGTCTACATATGCCTATTAATAATACTCTATTCTCTACAAGATTTTATATATAAAGTAATATTTGACATATAAACACAATATAATTTTTCGAAAATTAACTTACTACCCTTCACTGGTTGTAGCTCTGCCCGGCATCATAGGCATCAAGGGTATATATCTATCTGTCTATCTATGCCATAATTGGTTTTTACTTAAATTTAATTGCTGAAAGTTATTTCTTTTGTTCACAAAAAATATAAAAGAAAAAACTAAAGAATAGTAGTCATGAAATTCCGGTTCTTGCCATCATCGAGTGTTTTAGTTGTAGAAATCCTAACTCAAATAGACCCATATAATAAGTTACAAATCACAATTGAAAAGTAAAGAAGAGGTGATAAACTACGTGTCTTTGCTTCAATCAAAATTGTTTCTTTTCATTCTCCTTCAATGAGAAAAATTGCTTAATCACTTCAAACAAAATCAGGACCTTTACACAAATAGCCAGTCGAATTTAGTGTTTATTCTGCTAGTCAGTATACATAAATTGTATATTGATTACATATGATTATATACATATTATATATGAATTAATATATATTATATATTAATTAATTACTTTTCATTTAAACGGTTGAATTTACGCGGCTATTTAGGTTATTATGTCCTCTAAATTCATCCTACTACATTAGCTTTTGTTGAAGGCCCATAAGAGGTTGTCAGACCAGGTAGGCCTCTCATCCACTTATTGTGCATCATTATTGGACCTATAGATGAAGACTGGGCTCACTAAGGAATTTACGTAAAAATAGCACGGTATAGCCAGTTTTCGGACTGGTCAATCAAAAATAGTCAGCGTTTACCAAGTCAATGAAAAATAGCCACTATTTTGCTGCAATAGAGACCGATCCAGCATAATATACTAGATTTCGGTGCACTTGTGTATGAATTCCAGCATATTATGCTGGACCAGTATACTTTGCTGGCTCCAGTATAATATACTGGAGACTGGAGCACCGGTGCTCCAAAATCCAGTATATTATACTGGACCAATGTACTTGCTGGAACTCCAGTATATTATGCTGGAGTTCTAGTGTACTTATGCTGGAACTCCATCATATTATGCTGGAGTTCCAGCATACTTATTCTGGAACTCCAGTATAATATGCTGGAGTTCAAGTATACTTGTGCTGGAACTCCAGCATAATATACTGGAGTATTTTCCGGGTTTTGAACAGTGTTTTCGCTCAGATTTATCTTTATATAAAAAGTTGCTAAATTTCGATTACTTTTAAAATTGGGCTATTTTTGAACGACTAGTTGTAAATCTGGCTATTTTTAAAATTTACCCGGAATTTACTTGGGGAATCTTTGGCAAACACCATTCACCACAAACTATTTACCCATCGCTACCCGAAAAGTTTTCCCCTACCCATATTTTTAATGTTCAGCCAATGCCAACCAACTGAAGTCAAACTAAGCTACTGAAACCAAGTCAAGCCAAGCCAATTCATGTCAAGCCAAGCCAATTCATGCCAAGCCAAGCCAATCCAATTCAATCCAAACCAATCCAAGCTACATTAAGCCAAATGGGTAAGAAAAGTGGGATGGGTAGGTAGGTTGGGTAATTAATTTTAATTGGGTAGGTGTATAACTAGTTTTCACATGGGTAGAGAAGGGTAATTATATTTTGCATAAATTGCTCATTTAACTTGTTGGGGGAGTATCACAGTCCGTGGTCAGACACAAGTTGCTACTACCATTGTATCTTGAATGTGAATCACAAGTCCTATTTTGTCCAAGTTGATTTTATCCCACTTGTTTTATTTGGCGAACTTTTTTTTCACATTATGCCTCAACAATAATACTCTTTATTCAATTTTATGACACTTTTTATTTTTCGAAATGTTGAGTAAAGAATGACGTATTTATATACTTTAAAACTTTCCATCTATAAACTTCTTATTTTACCAGAAAGACATGTTTTTATAGTCATAGAAATATCATGTCATAATAAAATTACAAGTTCTAAGAGTGGGTTTGATAAGCAATTCTTTTTACTTCTTAAGCACATGCTCTATTAAATCGTCATGTAAGATGAAACGGCAATAATAATAATTTCATTATTTAAATTCAGAGGTTGTTAGAACAAAGCCATATTACTACTCCCTTCGGTCAATAATAAGTGACCAATTTGCTTTTTTATTTTGGTTCAAAATAAGTGTTCATATATATAATCAAGAAAAAATTCAATTTGTTTTTACGAAATTACCCTTATGTACATATCCTAAAAGGTTTTCTTACTCCTCACATTAAATATTTAATTAAGGATAGTTTATCATACTAGGTATTTTTGTATATAATTTAGCATTTTTTTTATGAACGTGTCAAAAGCAAATTGGTCACTTAATATGGACTAGAGGGAGTACGTTAGATTTTAGCTTGCTAGAAGAAAAGGAGGCAATGAACCTGCAATTTTCAAGTCAATGAGAATTTTGGAAGAAGAGAGGCAAATATCAGAGATCTTTTTGTTTTTTTCATATCTGATTTATACTACTAGGTAGCTAGTTTTACCAGGTGGAACACGACAATTGGTTTCCATAATGGAACTAGTCTTAACGACCATTAAATTAATTAAGGCTACATTGCTCAATAACCTGTCAACTTTAGCCATCTGAGTCAATATTTGGAACCCACATTTGAATTCGTGTTAAAAGGAGCTATCATACATTTGATTGATAGGGATTTGTGTCCACCTATCATAACGTGATTCATAAAAGAATACTATAGTGTAGGACAGTGCTATTTTACACTTTGTAGAGAAAAGCAAGGATTGAATATATTGCATTTCTTGAGAATATTCCAGTTCTCCGGATTTTATTCAAGTCAAACCTACGTATTTATCGTATGTCGTTTCAGGAACAATTATAACTCCTAAATACATTATACTTAAGAGGAAAACGACCTAATCTTAATTTAATTGTGGTAAATTTAAGAGTTATAAATTTTTAAGACTCCAATGGTACTCAAATAACTAACTGGGGAAAATTTGTACATTAAGGTTTCGACAATGATTGTGTTAGAATTGAGAGATCAAAACTAATCTCAAGCTGCCATTGTTGTGGCAGTTGAGCTCAAACGAAGAAGAAGAGAGAACAGTAGAGACTTCTAGAAGAAGAATATTTGGAAAAGGAAAACTGATTTTATTCTTCAGTGTATATCCCATATATACATGTAAGAGAAAGGAAAATTATAATGACAACTACTATTGGCTAATTACAAGAATACCCTTACTAATCTACTCAACTTGTAACTGACTATGAATATAACTATACAACTATATATATAAATACAACTGATGCTCTCAATACCCCCCCCTCAAGTTGGAGGTGAGGAACTCACTGCCAACTTGTTGAGAACAGAAGTATGCTTGATGCCTGTCAAGGCCTTGGTAAGAATGTCTGCTAGCTGAACATCTGCGGAGATGTGATGTAGGGTGATGAGGCCATCATACAACTTGTCGCGAACAAAATGACAATCTACCTCTATATGCTTGGTTCGTTCATGAAACACTGGGTTTCTTGCCATGTGAACTGCAGCTTGACTATCACAGAAGACTGGTATAGGATGTGGGCAAGGTACTGTCAACTCTTCTAGTAAGCGTTTGAGCCAGACTAGTTCTCCAACCACCTTCCTAATTGATATGTATTCTGCTTCTACGGAGGAAAGTGAGACTGTTTCCTGCTTCTTGGATTTCCAGCTAATGGGACTCTCCCCCAGTAAGACAAGATATCCACTCACTGATCATCTAGAATCAGGGCATGCAGCCCAGTCTGAATCACAATAGGCTTTTACAGTACAATCTGAATCGTTGGAGAGGAAAATGCCCAAGGATGGATCATTCTTAAGGTACCTCAAGACATGGAAAGCAGCCTTAAGGTGTGGCTCTCTAGGTGTTTGCATGAACTGGCTTAAGTGTTGTACACTATAAGCAATATCAAGTCTTGTATTGGTAAGGAAATTGAGCTTCCCAACTAATTTTCTGTAATAAGTAGGGTCTGCCAGTAAGGTTCCCTCTTCTGCCTTCAACTTGAGAGTACAATCTAGAGGAGAAGAGACTGTGGTGTATTGACTGTCATATTCTTTCAATAAATCTGCAGTGAATTTTCTTTGTGAAATGAGAACCCCATTGTTTTTGTAGAACACCTCCAGTCCCAGGAAGTAGTGCAATTTCCCCAGATCCTTGATTTTGAACTGATCATGGAGGAAAGACTTCAGTGCCTTAATTTCTTCTACATCTGTGCCTGTAAGGATCACATCATCAACATAAACAGCCACAAATACAATTGAAAACCCATTCTTTTTATAGAACAAGGAATAATCATTTTCTGAATGTCTGAAACCCCTGGTGCATAATGCTGTAGTTAGCTTGTCATACCATTGCCTGCTTGTCTGCTTCAGTCCATATAAGGACTTGTTCAACTTGCAAACCAGGCCAGGAACCTCAATCTGCAGTCCTTGTGGTGCCTCCATGTACACTTCTTCATGTAAATCTCCATGTAGAAATGCGTTGTTTACATCCAATTGAAACAAATCCCAGCCTCTTTTACTGCTATACTAATCAAGGTCATAACAGTTGTCATCTTGACAACTGGAGAGAATGTTTCATTATAATCTATACCTGCTTGTTGTATGTATCCTTTTACTACAAGTCTTGCTTTAAATCTCTCAACAGTCCCATCTGCTTTGTGTTTGATTTTATACACCCATTTGCATCCTATGGCCTTCTTACCTGCAGGCAGTGTCACTAGGTCCCATGTATGGTTAGCATATAAAGCCTCAAACTCTTTTGTCATGGCAGCTTGCCATGTAGGGTTTATGGCTGCCTCCTCATAAGAAGTTGGTTCAGAATCATGTGAAATACTTCTCATCATATGCTGACTATTGTTATTTAAGGCAGTAAAGCAGATATGTTGATGGTTTAAAGGGGTAAAATTTAGTAAGGCAGTGTGTGAGGTATTATGCTTTAGGTTTGGATGAGAGTACACATATTCATTTAAGTAACTTGGTGTTTTGACTGTTCTGGATGGTCTTGTATCACTTCTGGTGCTTAGAGTATTGGTGGAATGGTGGTTTGAAGTGTCTGAAGTGTTGGGTGAAGTCTCAGAAGAATTCATATCAACAGGTGGAGAGTTACCTTGATCTAAAGGTAAGGAAATATTTTGATCATTTGGTGAGAAGGTTTGGTGACAGAACTTGATGCAGTCCTACTTGGTGGCTGACTGTTACCCAAAATATCATCTTTATGACCCTCACATGTATGATCAGAGTGAAAAGATGGCAAGACACAAGGAAAAGAAGTGTGATTAGGAGACACTATAAAAGGGAAAACATGCTCATGGAATTGTACATCCCTGGAAATGTGTATTCTCTTAGTGGCTAAGTTCAGCACCTTGTAACCTTTTGTGCCAAAGGGGTATCCCACAAAGACATGGGGCTCAGTTCTAGGTTCAAATTTGTCTTTATGAGTTTTGAGGACAGTGGGGTAACACAAGCATCCAAAGCTTTTAAGGTGTGAATACTTGGGTTTCTTCTTGTAAAGCATTTCAAAGGGTGATTTGTTATTTAGGATTGTAGAGGGCAATCTGTTAATCAAGTATGTGGCTGTAAGGATGCATTCACCCCAATATTTGATGGGTAATTTGGATTGGTATAATAGGGCTCTTGCAGTTTCTAACAAATATTTGTGTTTCATTTCCGCCACACCATTCTGTTGAGGTGTGTATGGGCAGGTTTTCTGGTGTATAATGCCTTTAGAATTGAAGAATGATGAGGTCTCATTGTTGACAAATTCCATTCCATTATCAGACCTCATGGACTTAATGGAAGAACTGAACTGGTTTTTTATCATGTATACAAAAATTTTCAGCACTTGAAGAGTGTTGCTTTTACAGCTTAGAAGATATGTCCATGTGGACCTACTGAAGTCATCAACTATTGTAAGAAAGTATTTGTAATTATCATGGGTCACTGTGTGGTATGGTCCCCAGAGATCTATGTGTAAGAGGTCAAAAACCTTTGTGGAAGAAGTAGTTTTCTAAGGGAATGGCAATCTTGTTTGTTTGGCCATAGGGCAAATTGAACACAAGAATGGTTGTTTGAGTGCAAAGTTTACAAGTATGGAGGATATTCCCCTCATTTTCACAAAAGGCACATGGCCTAATCTATTATTCCACAAGTAATCAACACATTTTCCATAAGATGAAAAATTGGAAAAGGATGCAGAAGCATTAGTAGAACAAGAAGATGTACAATACCCTTTCTTATTGCTTGAAGATGAAACATTTACAGATGATGATGGTGAAAGGGGATCAGCAGAATATGTTCCTAAATGGTCATTATTTACAGTGAGTGATGTGTGTGATTGTGCACTATTTGAATTTCCAGCAGAAACAGAATTTGAAATGAGAGGAGTAGAGACAGTAGTAGAACCAAGGAACTGACATCTTAAGCAGAGGAAGTACAGACCATTCCTTGCCCTACCAATCTCCAGAGGCCTCTTCATTGAAGGGGCCTGTAAAATACAGGACAAATCAGAAAATTGAACAATCGACTTAAGATATGATGTTAGACAATGAACTGAGATCAAATTGAACCTAAAACTGGGAACAAACAACACTTTATGTAAAGTCAGTTTGGGACTAAGGACTGCATCACCAATTTCTGTCACTCTAACCTTGTATCCATTTGGTAAGGTTACTAGGAAAGGATAAGGTAAAATTCTAATGTTGGTTAACAGAGTTTTGTTATAAGACATATGATTTGTAGCCCCGGAATCTAGAATCCAATATTCAGCAGATGATTTGAAACATTTACATGAAAGATTACCAATAATTTCCTTATGAGTAGAGCAAGCCAGTATACCTGCAAAATTTGCTGCTCCACTAGTAATGTTGTTTGAGACTTCAATTGCGTTTCCACCATGGAAATTTTCCAGTAAATGCAGCAGCTGATTGTACTGCTCCTTTGTCAAGTTTTGAATCCCCACACCTTGATTTCCAGCATCCATTTCACTGTGCCCTCCTAAAACCATCTCTTCTGTCCCTCCATGCACATTTGCAGCAGATGCTACATTTTTCCCTTTAGTGAATTTAAAGTCTTGGGGGACTCCGTGCAATTTGTAGCATTTGTCTCTAGTGTGCCCTTGTTTCTTGCAGTAATCACAAAATAGGCGTGCCCTATTTGATGGATAATTGCCTCTATATGAGTTGTTCCCTATGTTATTTCTCTACTGAGCATAGTTGGTCCTAAAGCCTGGATTTGCAGGTCCATTGACATTCATTGAGGCAGACTCTATCATCAGATGATTGTTTGGTCTAACTTCCCTTTGCTTTTCTTCTTGGATTAGGATAGAAAAGGCTTGTGCAATCCCGAGCAACGGGTTCATCATCAAAATGCTCCCTCTCACGACTGTATAAACCTCGTTCAATCCCATTAAAAACCTAATTAACCTCCTGTCCTGTTCTGCCTTCTCCATACTTGCCTTGGCACCACAAGTACATTGGCATTTGCATTGAGCATCCGCATTTAGAGTGTTTAATTCTTCCCAAAGCTTCTTCATTTTCGTATAGTATCCTGTAATGTCTAGGGTTCCCTGACTTAGGTCATTGATTTCCCTTTCAAGCTGATACAATTTTGCTCCATTCGTCTGATCGTACCTATCCTCCAGTTCCTGCCATAGTTCTTTCGCATCAACTACATATTGCAAACTGTCCGCTAGATCCTTAGAGAGTGAGTTGAGAATCCACGATGTTACCATATCGTCGCACCTCTCCCACTGTTCAAACGTCGGATGGTTGGAATCTGGCTTCTTACACTTTCCATTGATAAAGTCGACCTTATTCTTCACTGAGAGAGCTCTGAGGACGCCTCTTCTCCAAGATCTATAGCCAGTTTCGTCAAATACTACCGGCACCAGTGTCGACCCGGCACTTTCTGAAGGATGCATGTACAAAGGATTGGTTGAATCTAACGTATCCTTGTTTGCATTTGGTAAATTAGTTGAATTCGAAGAATCACCATCTACCGCCATGATATAGGTTGAGATAATTCACAATCTGTGAAATGTGGGTGAAAAATTAGGGTTTTGCGATCCCCGATCTGTGACTGCTAATGAGCAGAAATTAATGACAAAAATGATAAACTTGAACGAGAATTGAGCTGTACGTGAGCCTGAGCTCTGATACCATGTTAGAATTGAGAGATCAAAACTAATCTCAAGCTGCCATTGTTATGGCAGTTGAGCTCAAACGAAGAAGAAGAGAGAACAGTAGAGACTTCTAGAAGAAGAATATTTGGAAAAGGAAAACTGATTTTATTCTCAGTGTATATCCCATATATACATGTAAGAGAAAGGAAAATTATAATGACAACTACTATTGGCTAATTACAAGAATACCCTTACTAATCTACTCAACTTGTAACTGACTATGAATATAACTATACAACTATATATATAAATACAACTGATGCTCTCAATAGATTGAAATTGAACTCACTCGAAAAGAAAGGGAATTAAAACTTGAAAATAAAGAAAACCTAATGAAGGCAACTTAATTTATTTGAATAAAACTCAAATTGGAAGGGTGTGCATAAATGATAGTACAACTTTATCTTTCCGTCCAAAATATAATTAACAAGAGAGTTAAGAAGATTAATTGGAAGGGAAAAAAAGAACGTGTAAAACAGCATAGATTGGGAAAGCTTTGGGAGTATATCATGCTTTATAGACATACACATAACACACTTATATATGGAAAAGAAAATTAGTTAGAAGGAAGGTAGAAATTAACTTAGCTTAACAAATAATCACTTGAAACCAAAGAAAGGAATATCATACTCTTTTTTTCCCCCTCCTTTTCTTTTTCGTGGGGTTGCATTATTTTAGGGTTAGATGCCTTATACAAAACGTGTACTCTACGAATATGCCACACACATGACACATGGCAAAATAGGATTAGAAAACCTTTCACCTTAGCTGCTTTCCACCAATAACAATATGAGTTCAAAAAGTTGAATGGCATTTTCTTTCCTTTTTAACTTGAATCGCATTAATCAGCTAATAATCATAACAAAGGGCCTACTTAATGTAAGTAGCTACTAATTCCCACCAATAATAATGTGAGTTCAATCACTTGAATGGTATTAATCGGCTCATAAATTCTACAGCCCGTCCACGAGTGATCACTAGAGTCACAACGACAAATGACTACTTAATTGATTTACTTAATCGTACTAAAGTTTGTTATACATCATTACCATTGGGCCATGCAATATGGTGTAATAATGGTTCTACACGCCGTTTAGGAATATGAAGTATAAGAACGATATTTGTGAGTCTGTTTAAGCTTTATTGATAATATTACGTTGTTTTACGTCAATATCTTAAGTCAGTAAATTCATTGACATTTTATTTCTATATATAATTCGAGATAAGTATACACACTTCTTTTCATGTACATCCGGCTCTCAGACAACATATTTAGATACAAATTTTGTTTTAATTTGAGTACGACAATTTATATATAGTTCTAATCTACGATCTCTTGCTCACTTGTTCTTATCTTTTATGTTATGTGATCTGAACAAACATCGAGAATATACGGTAAAAAATAACTGATAAATTTGGGCGATGGAGGAAACATCAAACTTGTCAGACTTATATTAAATTTGACTTTATAAAAAAGTTAGAGTTCAAGTAAATATTACTCCCTCCGATCCGTCTCATAATATGTGTCGTGATTCTCTTGTGCGCGCCCCTTAAGAAACTTTACCCTTATTAAATGTTTTCTCAATTTATGTGTCATCTCTATCAATGACATTATCCATATTTTTACTAAATGTGAATGCAATTGATTATTAAGGGTAAAAA